AGTAGATTTGAAAACAAGACTCGTCTATTATCCAACTGCTTATAAATATATATGTGTGCAACAATAGGCCGCGTATTTAGAAATATTATAATATACATATAACTTGTATTACTATGCTTTGAATAGGCTCTATTGTTGGGCCAAAGTGAGGATAAAGTTTTCCATTGGCGTAATTCGCACGGAATGAATTACCCGGCACTAAACATAATAATGGTGCTAAATATTGTTATAATGACGTGTTGTAGAAATAAAAAAAAAATACAGTCAAAAATGGTCCGCAACAACGCATTCGTCCTCGTATCGTAGTAATCAAACCGTGGAATCGACTGGGTGACGTGTGCACGTGCGCGTGTTCGTTTGTGTTAAAATGAATAACACAAAAACGTCGTTTTTCGACGGGCGGTTCAGCGTCGTGTTATGCTCGCAATGCGAACACTGTCGTCGTCGACATGATGCTCATTATTATCCGCGTGCAACGGAAACACGTAGAACACGTACGACGATGGGTTTCCGCGGCCTACGCGCGCGCGTTTCGACCCGATATCAATTCGCCGCGTTGTAATCGGTACGTGGCACGGTCAGCCGTTCGTCGGTTTATCAAACGCTTTCTGGGTTCGATGCGAACCGGCGGCGATCGACGAGATCCCGCGGAACGGCCGCCGGTCGGTGCGGGTGGCGTATGCCGCAGTGGGAGAGGGCACGTCGAAGGCCAACAAATGACGCCTCGCAAGTAACGATAGACGGACAATAATTATCGGTTCAGGACGAACGGGGGTGAAACGTGCGATGCGTTTTCCGCCCGATGCGCAGCACACTTGTAGTGTACTTTTTGTTCTCGATAATTCACGTCTCAACGCTACCCCTTTGCCGTGTACCGTTCACTCCGTCTGGCTGCGGCTCGTGTGGTCCATCACGCATTAGCAGCTCTCTCGTTTCACAACACTTGACTCGTTAAAGACGATTGCGCCTCGACGACGATGACGGAAAGCGTCGGTTCGTTTACATCGTCGTCGTGGTGTATTTCTTCGGTGTCAACAGAGGCGTTGTCGAATGGCGGCTGCGGCTGCGGCGACGGAGTGCGCCAGCGAGAGAGAGAGAGAGAGAGAGAGCAATTGAGTGAGTGAGGACGCCGAGCCTCGTCTCGCCTTCATCATGCACGCGGCGCGGTTACCCCGCAGGGAACGTCGGTCGGTCGCCACGGCAACACCCGCGCCCCAGTGGTAACGTTGACCTTTGGCGCGCGCGAAACACGCGCAACCATACTGTATAATATATGTATACACACGTATATAATAATAATAATAGTAATAATAATAATAATAATATATTACACGGCACTGCTTACTCTCCGTAACGTGGCGGAGGAGGAGGAGACGACGAATAACGCCTGCAGCAGATTCCCCCCCCCCCCCCTTCCGAGCGTGAGAACAGCAAAGGCGGCTCGTCGTCCGCGACACTTATCGCTAGCACAATTTGCTTCATTTTTCTCGTTGCGCGACACTCCAGTACACCGGCGCCGTTGTTGCTCCTCACCCGTCCATCAATGGTACTATCACTGGACTCCATGTATATAGATACCGCGTGTTCGGACCCGTCGGATTTAGGGTTGTTGTGTCGCTTGTCGTCGAGATTTTAATCTCACTTTCCATGCTGTCGAAGCACTGTATTATGTTTACCTGAAAAATTTAGAACTTGACGCGCTAGTATTATGGGCGACGTACACTCGATAAAATGTACCATGTATTTGTTGTAGATGTAAAAAAAATGCGGACAACTCCGACGGACATATTATATGTGTTATACAACATATTTAGGAAAACAAAAATACATCCAAGTACATTTATTTTAATAATCTCCTACCGTTGGATGTACATTCAAGTTTTATCTTGTATCAATATGGAATAAATAAAGTTATACGTGTTTGCCCTTAACATATGGTCAGTGTAAAAATAATCTACTGGTATTAGTTTGACGCTTGTAATAATAATGTGTGTTGGAAGGGAATGTCATTCCCCTACAAATAGTTCAATTTTAGTAAACCATACAAATTTAAACAATATTTAGTTTCATGGTTTCGTCTGTTTATTATTTCTCTCATGTTAAGTATATATATAGACATTCATATATTATGTTTCACTAATTCCTATCGTCGTTGACTCTGCTATAATTTAGTAAAATACAAATATCACTAGACAACTGTATAAGGTTATAGCATTATACTATATATATGTGTAATAATTCATTATTTAGTTTATGTTATTCAGCTATTTAGAACGGTTCTCATAATTTTACATATTGTTTGACTTTATTTCATATTATTTTGTGTATTTATTGAGTAATTTATTTTTCTAACTCGACTATAATGGAATGCATATTGAAATTGTACGAATAATATAATAGCCCTGACTCAAGTTAGGGCTTGTAATGTTATAATGGCATTAATTAGTAAAAAGTATCATAATAATATAAATAAATCATCAACTAACTTACTTTATTTTTTTAAACAAAAGTGTTCCATTGTATGGCGCATATGTTAAATATTATTAAAAAATATTTATTTTATTAAAGCCGAACGGCTTATATACAGACACACAAACAAGAAAACAATTAAATAATAAAGAAACAAAAAATTAAAATTTTGTTGATTGATGAATTCATTATTATTTTTTTCGTACCTACTTCAAAAAAGTCGTAAATAAATTAAAAATTGTATTATTATTATTTTTTCTAATTTTTTTATAAATTATTTTTAAGGACTGGAGTCTGATATCCGACATGTTAATATACAGTAAATAATAACGAAAATCTAAGTATTTAAATTAGTAAATTAATATTTTATTATCATGTGTTCGCTTATAGCAACTTTGGTATAACAAATGTTAAACGATTCTGGTCTTGTTAATCATTTTCCTTTAGCGATACTGTAGTGGAATTAGATGAAATACAAATAAAATTTAAAATTACATTTCTTATAATTTTTTTTTTCTCTCTAGTATGCGTCTACGCGCCTGCGTGTGCGTATGTGGACACATGAGCGTGATGCCGGCCGGCAGCGGGCTGGGTAAAATGAGCACGCGGTTCTGTGCCCGATGATCGATCGGCTTCGCGTTTGCGCTTTACGCCCTTTACTCCAGAATGCGTGAGTTAATCATGCACCGCAGACTTAGTTTTCGCCCCTTTTATTTTATATAACTATTATTTTATTTATTTTTGTGTTCATTACTATTATTTTCGACTACCGTATCGTGAAATTATTATTAATAATTATTACGTAATGCCAGTAGTAGCCGTACCGAAGCTTTGGCGTACAGGCAGGTCATTCGTGACCCCGTCATGCACGCATTGTCCACCGGGACTGCCACTATTACTTACACACACACACACACATATATATATAATTTAGTATATACTAGGAGGTACCCGCCAAACCACCTTATTGCATTACTATATAGTATTAATAACCACCACGCAAGGAATTCGATGGGGAATTAATAATAACAATGATTAAAAACTGTATTTATTACATATTGATCTATATATGTACGTCCACTGTTGTCCTGATCTAATAAAAACGTATCCATAACATATATGTTCACTCTTTCAGTTTGATTAATTTTACATTGTTAAATACATATTTTTCAATCGCCTTACATAATGCAATTTATAGATATATATATTTCTTTATATTTTAGTCTTTATCTAGTAGTTGATTCATTATTGATTTGTGAATATGGTGTCAAATCGAACTTACGTAATTTATATTTGAATACAAGCCGTACTCTGTATATTATGTACTGTTATTATTATTGATGAATCAATAAAAATAAAATATAAATATATAAATAACTTCAATGTCTTCTCATAAAATAATTTGGAAAAATAAATTATAATTTTAAACATTTTAATTCCAAAAATATTTTTCATTTGAGTCATAATCATGTTAATTATATATGTTATTTACAGTCCCAAGTTTGATTAATTAATTTAAAATATATGATTAAAAAAAAGCAATTAATTTTAGTCTCGTAATATAAGAACTATTATATATAAAAATACAATGAAAATACATAAAGTAATATCAGATCATGTAAAAATATATACATTTTAAGATAGTGAATGTAATTATATATATATTAGGTATTTTTAAAGAAGATAAACAATGTATAATATTTTAGATTTACTTGATCAAAAGTGTACAATACGCTTAGGTACCTATTTATGTTTATGACCCGTGCATACGTTGATAGCATAACATATTTCTAATTACATTACTAATATTTCCAATGATTTATTGTTGAAGAAATATTTTTATAAAAGAAATTAGTCAATTATTGTCTAGTCTTTAAGTTCATATATGAGAATAATAAAACGTGTCGAACCTTGAAAACTAAACATATGTGAATTATGAACTCATTGGTACTAAATGTCACGTATCATCATATTTTGTTGCCTTTCTATACAACCCATTATCATGTTTGCTGGAATATATTCATAAACTATGTGGTCTCATGACGGAAGTCAATTTTGCTAGTAGTTAATGCTACCCTCTTTTCATTCTGTCAATTGCTGGTGTTGATAATAGATTAAAATGATAATTTCATTGGTTCTCAGATATGTAAATAAAGTGAAAATACATGACTAAGTTATAAACACTTATTTTCATCATAATAATAAACAATTCGTATTTTTATTTCAAGTTGAGTTTTCTTATATTTGTTAATGTTAATTAATAATTTACGACTATAGACTTTGAATTGATATGCATTTAGATTAATACAGTATTTTAAATTTTATATGTATACATTTGAATTCATTTTTATTGTTTATATTAAAATACATTACATTGCATTTAGTCATTATGCATAATACGATATACCTAATACTATTTAATAGTATTAATACATATAACTATAGTATTAATAATAAATACTAATATGTATCAGTATTTATTATATACATTATTTTGTAATGAAGATTATATTGATTGTTTATATTTTCAGCATTTGTGTCGGTCGAGACCGGAGGCCCTAGCCGTGCAAAATGAATGAACTGGACTCACTAAGGCAAGAAGCTGAAACGCTCAAAAATGCCATACGAGTAAGTGATTTTTTAATACATATTTTATTATTATTGATTCGATAATTTTGAATCAATTAGTTCAACCTAAATTATATTTAATTATAAATGTATTAATTATTCATAACCTATTTTAAAGAAAAAAATTGCTATTGACATAAACATATTTTTAATAAATTTAAAATAAGGAGTCTTGAAACTTAGAATTCCTCAAAACCTGTTTACATTTCCGTGTCTATGGTGTACCTTTGTAAATTATATGAATGGGGAAACGTGATTATTGATTTTATCTTTATGAATCGAGGGGTTAAAACATATTTTTTGGTTCGGTGGCGGCGTTGAACGAATTCTCGTGTTGATATTTGCACAATATTAATCTCGACGCGGCTGTCTACAGCCTGAACCCTTCGCGCGTATCATCTACTACAATAAGGTATAGTAATTGTTATAACCGCAAAAGACACGAAAAAAAAAAATTATTAACACTCCTTAGCGATTTCATATTTTCTTCTTGTGTATTTTTACAATGTGTTATATAAATGTACTTGTATAGCGTACTCACATAGGAAAAACCATCCAACAATTTCTTTTTTTTTGTGCACTTTCGTCGTGTCCGAGAAAAGTTCGTCAAATATTGTTCATACATCGAAGGATAAATAAAGAAAATTCGCATTGTGTGTGTGTGTGTGTGTGTGTGTATTATTATATATCATTTTTATAAAGTGTGCATGTATAATATATATTAGGTACATTGTTTACACGAGTGATATCATCTCGTTGCATGTCATCCTGGGTAACCCACGCACCATACGCGATTACGTACTCCGCACGTGCACACAGGGGGGTTGTGGTTATGCGAGGGTGGCTGCGCGTCGGTGTACCTGTGTCTATATTGCGTGTATTAGAGAGAACGAATTCCCTGAACAAACGATATTATATTACGTAATTATATTAAATTAATATATTTCGCGTACAGGATATTGTAACCGTTATTTTTATAATAATAATAATTATTATTCATCAAGGATGAGATCGCGCCCTGAGAGTAGTAGTGTTCGTGCATATTCATACGATCACGTGTTGCGCGCACGTCGGCGACGACTCTCTTATACACATTCACACGCACGAGCGCCTGCGCGCGCACGCACACATACCAGCACACGTACGTACGTACGCACATACGTATGTATAGATGTACGTATTATATACTATCGCGGTGTGCTCGGAGAGTAGTCGCTGTATATAAATGTTCTGTAACGCGCGACGACGGCCAACTTACGCAGGCCCGCAACGGCGTAATACGTTTTCCATACGTGCGCGCTCGTGTGTCTATATATATCAGGGTTGAAACGTATAATACGGTATAATATAAAACACGTATTATACCATATAAAAATATCCCTTACAAACAAAAAAGCATTTATAATTTAAACACAATAAAATAAGAAAATATAAATTATAAATAAACAATTGTGGTGCTATTAATCTATTGTTAATAATTATCATTATTTTATCACGGACGTATTTATAGTAAATTCATTGTACTTGGGATATTTGTAACACTTTTAATATTTTATATTAATAGATTATAAACGAAAAACTAAAGTAGATATATTAAATAAAATAGTAGTAAAATATATTTTTACAATGTATAAAATTTAAAAACCTTACTTAATATCTGAAATAGGAATTATGTTTAATTTTTAAGAGTGAATTTCAAAAACAAACCGAATTATACGTTTTAGTCATTTTGTACGTTTTATACGTGGGATATTATACGTGTAACGTATAAAACGTTTTATACACGTATATTACCAACCCTGATATATATTGTACACGCGGCGGCGGCGGTGGCCAGCGCGCGCACACGTCTACATGTCGCGCCCTCTCACGAATCGAGCGGGTCGTCGACGATATTGCGCGGAGAGAGCTTTCGCGGCGGCAGCAGCGTCGGCGGTGGTGGCCAGCGAAGGGGTCATGCAAAAGCCGGCCGGCGGTATCGTTCCCCCGGTCCTCACCTCCGCGTCTGCTCTTATATGCTGCGGCGGCCTCTTTTCCGCCCTCGCCGCGTGCCACCTGCCCAGCCTTGACGCCGCTGCCGCCGACTGTATCTCTCGCGTGCGCCCGCCGTTCGTCCGTCGATCAATATGGCGCGTTGCCGCCTCCGCCGCCGTCTCACGCGGGTGCTCTGCCGCCGTTGTTTGACTTACTGTACGACGAGGGATCGTTCACACCGGCCAATTTGCCCCGTCAGGATGAGAACGGAAAACCCACTCATATCTACCCCCGAACACTTTCCAAACAAAATTGCATAGGTTTTTTTTTCCTCTAATTTTCATTTTACTTTCGCGGTTCTGATTCTGGAATAAACTATATTATGTTAGAAAATCTGATTAGAGCCGGAATATCGGATGCGTGGTGCAATATACACTTTATTCAGCCCAGTTTATAATTATTTTCGTCCATATACACACACAAGTTTTCAACCTATAATATTATCGATATGTGTGTTACAAGAATTTTTTTTTCTATTATACCCGAACAATCTCGTCCTTAAATTTCAATAATTATTGCAATAACATTCCATTTTATAATCATTTTTGGTTACAATTATTGTCACTAATAATTCACATGTAAATATATTACTATACTCGTACGCATACCAAAATAAATATATATAATGAAACTTAAAAAATATAATATACACTACAAATTGTGGATATATTCTATATGTAATAATATTGTAATACTTTTTCCATAAAGGAAAAAGTATAACGGATGTATACGTGTTTTTGGTGACAGGCAATTGCAGGGCGGGGCACTTATGTAGTTGTTTTTAAAACTGTTAGCAATAGTATTGAAATCTGAAAATTATTTTTAGCAAATTAAGGTTTACTGCATAGTAGTTAATGAATTTTATTGTATTTATATATTCATTTTTATTTGTCATATTCACATTATAACTAGGCTTACAAGTTGTCAAACTAACTAACAATACTTGATGTCTCTAATTTAAATTGTATATTATAACATTTGCGTTAGGTTATTAAAAATTACATAAAATAAAGTAGAATTATAATCTTGAGATTTTTCTATTTGATATAACTATAGCATATTATATTTTTTTTATAATACCAATGTATAGTGTATAATTTAGTGATATATTTGGGTAGAACTTATTAAATGTTCAAAAATAATTCATACTTAACCAAATTGTTTAACTATTTATAATAATATAATAATATTATTACTATTTATATTCACATATGGTTGGCCTTATGTTACATTTTTACTTTTCAGGTATTAATTGTTTTGTATAAGTCTAATCTTATATCAATGCATTTATTACAACTTTCATTGTTTTAAAAGTAGGTAGCCAAAATCTTTTTTAACACTTATAATTTGTGGATGAAAATAGCCTATATAGGCTAGGAATGTATAAATTTTAATTACTAAAATTATAAGATAATTGAGGTACAAATTATTTAACTATCATTTTAATTTAAAAAAATGTAGGTTTATTGTTTTCCAAACTAAAAAATAATAACCTGTATGAATATCTTTAAAAGCTGGTTTACTAAATATTTTTTATTTTCTATCAACATTAAGCACAAACAGTTATTTTAATATCTGTTTTACATTTGAAATTAAAAACAGCAATTCAGTATAGTATTACTAGGTAAATATCATTGATTGGTCTACTTACATTTTTCAAGACACAATTATGCTCAAATAATTAAATAAATACCTATAACCTTATAATGAATGAAGTCACCGTTTAACCTGAAAAATATTAAAAGAATACTCGTATAATCCAAAAATGCTGAATCATGTAAGTAACCTGTCATATTTAATTTAAAATAAAGTTTTATAAACAATTTAAAAATAAGATTTGTACAATTTTTTTTCTACATGTTCATCATGAAATTTTTTGAGTCAAATTATGACATTTTTTATGTGTAAGTTGGTGAATTTTTATAATCATATTTGAAATAGGTAACTCAAAGTTACAATAAATACTATTCACAAAAATTATGCAGAATATTGATTCCACTTAACTGTCTAAAGTAGGGATTTAGGATACTTTTTCATTAAATTTATTCAAAGCTTCTTAAAATTTGTATTCTTTGCAGTCTATATATATATATGTATGAAAATAATAATTACTATTATAAAATATTTAAACTTTTCATATATTAAAAAAATGTTAAGTAGTTCAATATATATATATATATTATACAACATTGTATAAAATGTTTTTCCTTAAATCATTTAGTTAGTTTTTTAAATTCTTGTTCACTATCAATTTGATTCTATCATATGAAAGTATTATTTTTATATGTATATTTATAATGATATAATTTTATGTTAAATAAAATCAAAATTAGTTCAATTGTTTTTATTTAGTGTCAACAGATTTTATTATTATATCATTACAGAAAACCTTTTTTCTTCTTTTTTAGTTAGTATTTTATATCATTAACTTTTTATTATAACCAGTATAAATTATTTAGGTAAAACATGTTTTATTGCTCAATAATATTATGTAGAATTATATATGTTTATATTATATTAAAATGATATGTACATTACTAAAATAATAAGTTAGTAACAACTTAAAATTGACTTGTATTACTAATATTAATTTTATCAACATTAATTTGGATTAAAATTTATTTTTATTTTGAAATATAGCTTTATACCTAAGTTATATAAAAACCTAACCTATAGTATTTAAGTGTGTTAAATGAAATGCATGAGTTGTTATACAATTATAGTATAAGTTTTTCTACAACTTTTTCTATATTATTCAAATAAAATCATTGTCTGTCATTCGTATGCATTGTAGATACTTGTTTAATACATTTTGGTGAATATTTGCAATGCTAAATGAAAATAATTATATAAATCCAATTGAATCATTTTAAAATTTTAACTATGATGAAATACATTAGATGATTCAAACCTAAATAAAATGATTTGTTATCATAGCTTAAATAATGTTGCATTAAATGTTAAGTATATAATACCTATCTGTATGTATCAATAAATAGTATATTCCATGTATAGATTAATACATTTCTAAATAATAATAACTTAACTGATTTTAATATTCAGTCTATTCTATTTAACATATTAATAATTTTAGGATGCAAGAAAAGCAGCATGCGACACAAGTCTGGCGCAAGCAACCACCAGCATGGAACCGGTCGGCCGGATACAAATGCGAACGAGACGCACGCTTCGTGGACATCTCGCTAAAATATATGCCATGCATTGGGGCTCTGACTCCAGGTAATTCAAGTATATTATATTAACTGAAATTTTATTTTTATTTAAAATAAGAATAAAATATTTATATGTTTATTATTATTATAATATATACATTTATAATAGCAAAGATACTTATAAGTTAGTTATATATACTTTAAAAAATTAAAACTTAATGTTTATTTAAATTTTTACTTTATTATTCCAGAAACCTAGTATCAGCTTCACAAGATGGCAAACTTATCGTATGGGACAGCTATACGACAAACAAGGTACACGCTATACCACTTAGATCTAGCTGGGTGATGACGTGTGCATATGCCCCATCTGGCAGTTTTGTTGCTTGTGGTGGCTTAGACAACATATGTTCAATTTATAGGTATTCAATATTGTTTTAATAATATTAACTAAAATTTTATTTATTGTTTATTGTTATATTTTTAGTTTAAAAACAAGAGAAGGTAATGTAAGAGTTAGCCGAGAACTGCCAGGGCACACAGGTTACTTATCGTGTTGTAGATTCCTTGATGATAACCAAATTGTCACTAGCTCTGGAGATATGTCATGGTAAATGTTTAAAAATTGTTATATAAATAAGTTTTATACTCATCAAAAAAATCTATTTTGTTCATAGTGCATTATGGGACATTGAAACTGGCCAACAGTGTTCATCGTTCATTGGACACACTGGTGACGTTATGTCGCTCTCAATGTCACCTGATATGCGAACATTTGTATCAGGAGCTTGTGATGCTTCAGCCAAAGTAAATAAAAATTGCTTTTTCCAAATATTACTTATTTACTATACATACTTTATTTCTAAAATAACATTTTTTAATTTTTAGTTATGGGATGTTCGAGATGGAACTTGCAAACAAACGTTTCCAGGACATGAATCTGATATCAACGCTGTCACCGTAATTATTTATTTTCAATAATATATCTAACTAGTTTTTAGAATTATGTATTAACTTTCATGCATAAATTAACAATTACTTATACATATATTATATATTTATATTTTTAATTGTTTAAATTAAAATTTTAGTTTTTCCCAAATGGCTATGCTTTTGCTACTGGCTCAGATGATGCAACCTGTCGTTTATTTGATATTCGGTCTGACCAAGAATTAGCAATGTACTCGCATGACAATATCATATGTGGCATAACATCCGTATCATTTTCAAAATCAGGACGTTTGCTATTGGCAGGATATGATGATTTCAACTGCAATGTTTGGGACTCAATGAAAGCTGAACGTGCTGGTTGGTTAAAATTTATTTTACATAAAATAACAAAAAAAATTGAGTCTAAGTTTAAAAATATAAGTCACACTAAATTAAATTTATATTATTATAATATAATTTTTAATAATTAGTATATTATATTTATCTATTTCTTTTGCAATACATATCTACTTAACATACATTTATTATTGGGTAAATATAAATTCTTATTTGATTTATATCTAATATTTATAAACTAAATCATATTCATTTTAAATTATTTATTATTTAGTCCCATAATGACATGATATAACATTGTTTTTTTTTCTACCAATTTTCTGTATGAAATTTTGCTATTTTGCTATTAACAATTATATGTTTGTATTTTTTTATGAAGTAATTTTTCAAATTCAATAAATATGCTTTATTTTGTTTTGCCCTTGAAACTCATTAAAATAGGATATTTGTATTTATCTGTATTGACAGATTTTGCAATTTTAAAATAAAAAATATATGAATCCAAAATTTTTTATAATACCATTGCTATTTAATAAACTATAACAAAAAGAATATAAATGTATAAATAACTTGAACGAAAAAAAAGAATTTGTAATTCACGATAATTTAAAAAATGTAGCTATTGTTTAAAGTAGATACTTTCTATATTTATGTATAACAAATTATTAAACAGATAATATCAATTGATCTCATTAAATCCTTTTTCTATTTTGTATTATAGTGAATATTTTATTAAATACCAATATTTATTATTTTTGTTATTTGGTTTCTTTTCCAATTGGCAAACACATAATATCTGGACCATATATTTCTAATTGGAATTCTTGTTTACTGGATAGCCAACCAATCTAAGTATAACATATCAACATCATCAAATATGAGGTCATACCTAAAGCATAGAAGTCGAATTTATATTTTAATAAAATTTTTAAAATAAAATAATTTAATATTATTTAAGATTGACAGTAAATTATTTTATTATTCTTTTAATATTAAAAAAAAAATTCATATTTAAATTTAATTTGAAATAATTCAATCTTTTTTCAAAATACTTAATTTGAACCACAAATAAGTACAACAGTAATAATACCTTAATGAACAATAAACTGTTTATTAGACATAAATTATTATTTATTTATGAAATATTCAGTAGGTTAAGTACTTCATGAACTCTAAAAATATCTTACTACTATAAAAAATATAAAAAAGCATACAATTGCGACCTCTTATTATATTTAATAATATTATTTAAATTATTTACTTCTCTTGATGTAGTAATCGGAAAGGGTGGCAGATTTATGGGATCAATACATTTATAGTTATAGTCTTCTTTTATTTCCTTTATTTTATTTAAGTTTTTATTTATTTTACTGGATAGCCAACCAATCTAAGTAAAACATATTAAGCTCATCAAATATGAGGTCATAATTAGAGTCTAGTAGATGAAATTATATTTGTTTAAAATTCTTAAAATATGATGTTTTAATATTATTTAAAATTGTGAGTAAATTATTGTAATATTCTTTTAATATTAAAAAAAAAACTTATTTTAATTTAATTTTAAACTATGAATAATCATAAACTATTCAACTTTTTTTTTTTAAATATATCATTTAGACCAGAGTTGGGCAAAAACAAATCAAAATAATGAATAAAAAATAAAAGCCTGAATAACTAATTTATTTATGAATAAAGAATAATTTTTTATTCTGAATAATCGTGGTGTACTGAATAAAGAATAAAATTATTCTGAATAGTTTTATTCGTTAATAAAACAATTATTCAGAATAAATGTATTCGTTAAAATCATGAATGATATTAAATAAATAATGATATTAAATATAAAAGTATAATTAATTTATTTTTGTCAATTATTATATATATTAATATGTATTACCTTTATATATATTATTTAAGTCTAAATAATAAGTATATTATCACTATACATCGTTATTTTGGATTTAAATTTATTATTTATATGATTATAGGGAATAACGAATAACGAATAATGAATAACGAATAACTAAATAATGAATAAAAATAAAAATCAATAATAAAATTAAGAATAAATCAATGAAGAATAATTTTTTATTTAAATAATCAATCGAATAATATTTTATTCGACTAATGCCCAACTCTGATTTAGACCAGTGGTTCCCAACCTTTTTTATTCCATTTCCCCTTGTTCATTTTCAAAAATCTCATGCCCTCTTCCCTTAAATTAGATGACCTTTTTTAAGACAGCCATACAAAGAAAATTTTGTAAAATAACTATATATATTATAATATATTATACAACTAATGACTTTTTTTTTTTTATCATCATTTTAAAAATAAAATACAAATTAACTTTATAATTAATATATTTTTGAATATAATTTTATAAATAATAATTAAATATGATGGTAAAATTAATTCAATGCGAAATTTGAGTTTTTTTTTTTTTTACTAAGTCCATAATCCGTGGGGATATATTTGATAATGAGCAATGCATATCATTTTCTATATCCAACAGATTTCTTTGCTTGCTTTTTATTTGCAAAAGTGTGGAAAAGCCTGACTCACAGAAATACGTCGATACAAATGGGATTAATGTTCGCAGAGCAAATAAAATGCTCGTTATATCATCAAAAATATATTCCCTCCGTTCAGTATCTAAATTCTCCTCTGGGGGAGGGAATTCCTCTAGGTTGAGAATCACTGATTTAGATCATAATTAATTATTAAAAATAAATACTAAAACTTAATAAGAATATTTATTTATGAAATGTTTAGTAGATGAACTTCACTTACAACTTATAATAATGTGTTTCATGAACTCTAAAAATATCTTACTGCTATCATTAAATATATATAAAAGCATTTTTTCACCCTCTTGTCATAATTAATAATATTATTTAAATTATTTACTTCTTTTGATGTAGTAATTGGAAATGGAAACATATGTCTAGGATCAATATATTTAAAGTCTTCTTTTATTTCCTTTATTATTTGCAATTTACTATCCGTTTTCCTTTAAGTGATTTATTGGAATGTTAAACAAGAATACATAAATTATTTCATATAGTTTACTTATTTTCATCTAAAATCCATCCCCACTTCTTTGGCCAATTATCATGAGCTTTAATTTCATGTTCACAGCGGTTTCTAAAAATCTCATCGTCTGCTACTGATACATTTCGTCTGGCCATGATAAAATCTCATAAAATAATTAACTATACCATTAAATATTAAATGTTTATATTAATAACTAGTTAGTTACTAAGCATCACAAGTATTATTAACAATATTTATAGATATTTTATTAAACATTTAATATATTTTAACTATATTTATAATTATCCCATTATAAATATATTAAGAAAACATTTTAATGTATTTATCACATTAGAATTTATTTCTACTACTGTAGCCTATTTTCAAAAAAAAAAAAAAAAATTGTGACTTAAAAACCTTGTGATGATTATTATAATTATATTCTATAATAATGAAAGATAGAAAATATTTTTATAATTTATGATACAATTTAAGTATATTTCTAATACTTTATGACATGTACATAGGTATATATTAATTTTGTTTTATTATTTTAGGTATATTGGCTGGTCATGACAACCGTGTTAGTTGCTTAGGAGTAACTGAGGATGGCATGGCTGTAGCTACTGGCTCTTGGGATAGCTTTTTACGTATTTGGAATTGAGTTGGCCCTCTGATGAGACCTATGAAGTCAACACCAAACGGTCCCTGAATTACAAAAAAAAAAAAAAATCCAAAAAAACTAAATAAACAAATAAACAAAAAACTTAAATAAAGTAAAAAACAGTTCAAACATTTTTTTCTCAACGGGGGACCACTCACGCGAAATGAAATGTTTTTTTTTTTTCATAAGTAATCTCTAAGTTGCATTATTCAAAATCAAATACCACCCGACTTGAAGGTCTTCCGTTTGCGCATTTTGGGACAAATGTCCGCGGCTGTTTAGGTGCTCAAAAAAACAAAACCGTGGCAACAAATACTATCTATGGAAACGTAGTGTTAACAACTATATTTTATTACATATAATATACAAATGTGTATATATATACACACATACATATAAACTTAAATAATTATGAAAATATTTATATCTAAGTCATATAAATAGAATAGATCAGTATTTAAAGTTATAAACGCTAAAAAAGATTATATTCCTAAAATGTTTTTTTAACGAGTGTTCATATAAAAAATAATTTTTAAAACAACAAAAAACAACTTTATATACTTTTCTGTGTAAATACTAGTAAATTAAATCTTGTGTATAATATTAAAATTTAGTTCATAGTGTTAAACATATAATCAGAATTGTGTGCATTTTTCATCTAATAAATCTGAACTACCTATATATTATTTTCACTGGAAAGATTTAGATTTTACACTGATGTTGGTTTTTAAAATAATTAGGCGTTATTCTACAGAAAAATTGATCTATTACAGTTTGCTCCTATTGAGACTTTCAACTGTTTTTCATTATTGATACCCATTTATATTTAATTTTTACACATTATGTATACATTTACAAAAGAAATATTATGGGTTAATCATTGACATCAATTTCCTTTAAAAACTTAGAATCGCCTTAACATTTTGTAACACCACGGACGGCCTTCATGAGGGTTATGCTCTGATCATAAATATTTTTGTTTTAATTACAAACATTTTTCTTTTAATATATATATTTTTTTTTATATTTTTTTTTTTACATTTTAATTAACGCACACATACACATTTTTATATTACATAACCAGTTTTTAAAAAGCATTTATACCTATTAAAACATACGTGTGAGTTATTCGTGTTGTTTTTAAACTGTCAAGCATTCATCGAATAGAATTAATTTTAATTAATATTAATATTATTGTTACTTTGTAAACAAAACCATTACGTTAGCATTATGAATCTGATAAAACCATAAGTTTTGCCACCATGTATCTGTTGGTGGTCATTATTTTATATTATTATTATTATTATTATTATTATTTCATTACTTAATTCTTTAAATGTCCACGAATTACTAAAATAAATGATTATTTCTCTTAATGGATTAACCCATGCCATTAAATATCTTGCAAATCTTACTGTTAATAATGGTGGTGGTGATACTTTCAGTTTCTAAATAATTTGATACTGTATAGCTAACACTTAGTATGCATATTTCTGGTGAATTTCACACTTACTTAGTATTAACATTTTCCAATATATCTGTTAACTTTATTATTGATTTATCAGTTAAACTCAAATAATGTATTAATTCTTATTTAGATCTTTCATGAATGCATTGGAATATAATTATAATATTGTCTTATTTAATTTATCTTCATAAAAAGCATTTTCGGTTAAGCAAGTATGGGATGAGATTTTTTATATGAATTCACTGTATACTATACCATTTGTTGTGTTCTAATTTGTTAGCTATCTGATTCAAAATTCTTTTCATAGTACCTTAAAAACTATTGACAAACCAACCTTGCTAGTTTTATGATTTAATATTTTTATAAATATATATTTTTTCCTAAAAGACTATTTATTTCTATTTAAAAAGATTCATTGAATATAATGTAAATTCATTGAATATTGTCTACTACCACATGGTTAATTGTTAGAAAATACATTTTTTTTCAACTTGAATTAACAAACTGTATAATAATTTATGAACATACTAAATATAAAAGTAATAATTTTACTTTTAGTTTACTAAGTATAAAAAAAAAAAATTATATATTTATATGCATGTACTCATTTATACGTACATATATATAGATATATGTAATAATAATATTAATAGTATGTACAAAATATCAAATTTATAATTACATTTTTTTGCTTAACCGAACATTTTTGTAAACATTTTAATACATTCAGTACTTAGAGAATCTTATAGAATATCGTAATGATTTTGTGTTCTACCCTTGTTTTGTTTTTGTTTTTGAGTGTGTGTTGCAGTCATTTTTTGAATTTTTTCTATAGTACGTATATTTTATAATTAAAAAAAAATTATCAATAGGATTACATCTTACCATCTAATATTATTATGTAAATATAAAATAGAAATTACATAATTTACAATTATAATTATAATTTTTTTTTTCGGCAACAGTTTGATGTCACACACTGTATCATATAGGTACTTTTACTATGGTTATAAATTATAATTATAAAATTACTAATTATAAAATATTACAACTTTAGGTCTTATATAAAGATAAGGTCTTAACATTATCGTTGTACGATAACTATTAAGGAAATAAGAAAAAAAAATTAAAAATATTGCAGTAAAAAGAATATCGCTGTTTTTGTCGAATTTCTAATCATATTAATTAATTATAAGTTAAGTTATCATTATTAATTTTTAATTTATTGCCAAAAGGAAAAAACACTAAAAACCAAGTAGTTTATAGTGTCTTGTATTTTTTTTATTTCCTTTTTTTTTATCGCTATTGCGTTTATTTATTTATTTTTTAAAATGTAAGTGTAATAAGTTTGTCATGGTAAAAATAAAATAAATATTTAACATATTCAAATATGTTAAGTGTTGTTTAATATGCTTTTTACACATTGCCATTGATTAAAGAATTAAAATACTTTCAGAGCACTTTAGAGCTATTTTTTCTCACTGTTGTTGATTTTATTTATACAAATATATTGATTTATGATATTTACCTTAAATCAATATGGATAAATGTTTACTAAGAGCTTTGCCTTTATTTCTTTGCTCATCAATCTAGACTCTATTATAAATTTTGTCAACTGAATCCCTCAATTATTTTACAAGAATCCACCAAAACAATAAATGTTAATTAGTATTTTAATAATACTATATCACAAATTCCTGATTGTTATAAATAATAATTCTTAACTCCTTTATGTTTGGAGTATTCTTGTAAAACAGTATTATTTTGGTGTCAAAGTAAAGTTTAGCATTGTTCATTATTTAAAAAATGTATGTTTCCTTAGTCTTGAATGTTTTTAAATCTGAGTGAATTTAAGGGCACTTACAATAAATTTTTCTTAAAAAACGTTATGGCATGTTTCATATTACAAGAGCTTTGCAGTATTTATTTTATACTTATGATGGTACATTTTAAATCAATGTATTGCATTACAACTATTTGTCTATTACCAATGATTATTTACTCGGTACTATTATGAGTAGGTAGTATCTTTTACAAATGCCTGTGATTATTCTACATTACTAGCACAGTTAACCATGGTTACCAATAATTTATTTTTATTATTTACCTATAATTTCAACTAAGAATATATTTTTATCGTGATTACAAGGCATAATATTATATTTATGACAATTTACGAAGGATGGGCCAATTGACAATGAAAACAGACCAACCTGTTCTTAAGTGTTGACAGTCAACATTACCTCTGAACAACGTTTTTAATCTTGAAATTTTGCATGAAGCATAATGAATAGGGATGAGAAGTTATAGAAGGTAAAATGAGCAAAATATGCACAAAAAAAAAAAACGAAATTATGCAGATAATATTTTTATATTATTAATAATTAATTATTATACTATTAAATATTTACTATTTTTACATAATTTTTATTATTAAATAATTTTACAACCAAAAAAATAATGCATCAATGAAATTAAATTTTAAACTTAAAAGTCCACTACCTATGTCATTACCAGCTAAACCAATTACACTACAAGAAATAAAATCAAATATTAATAAACTATGCAACAACAAATCTCCAGGGTACGATCTAATTAATAACAAAATTCTCAAAAAAATAACAAACAAAACCATACTTTTTCTCACTCATATATACAACGCAATGCTTAGGTTGTCATACATTCCTCCGATATGGAAATTCTCAACAATAATATTAATTGCTAAGCTAGAAAAACCAAAGCATTTAGTAACTTCATACCGCCCTATAAGTTTACTACCGACGTTAGGGAAACTTCGAAAAACTACTTAAAAAAATAACCCCTATTATTAAAGAAAAGAATATCATCCCAAGTACTCAATTTGGATTCCGATCATATCATTCAACAATTCACCAAATACATAGAATCACCGATAAAATATTATCATCATTAGAAAAAAAAGAACACTGCCCATGTATATTCCTTGATATCGCGCAAGTATTCGATCGTGTTAAAATGTCTATTAATATGGAAAGGAAAATGTTAGTATAATGTAGTACTTACCAAAAAATATTCAGGAACTAGTGTAGGACCTATAAAAATCCGGGACCCAACTAGTTAACTACCTGCGATTAGCCCCTAGTACTCGGGACCCAACTCGGATGCTTCGACATCCGCAACCCCTACAATTCAACAGTTACTAAAATATTTTGTAAATATTGTAATAACCCAAAAATAAAAAAATGAAATAAAGTGGGGAGGGGGTAGTGTATATGTATAAATGGTGATGAGATATGAATGTATTAAAGGGTTGTTACCTTCCTCCTTGTTTAAGGGAGGGCTCTCAGAGTTGAGAAGGTTCGAGAGCCGATCAACGCAATTGTTCAGTCTGCCAAGCTAAATAAAGCAGCACTTATTTGTTTTACCGTAGACCTTCAGATATCGATGTGAGGTTGAAAAAATGGACAAATGCAGAATTTAATTGCACTAGAACTGGATACTCTTCAACACTCGTACGAAGAACACAAGTCGAACGGATTAAAATGACAAGTCAAAATAAATCGCACGTAAAAACTCACTCGATAATCTTATGATCGGTGCGCATACACAAACGACCAAAAAAAAAAAG